GAGAGAAGGGTAAAGAGGGGGAAAATAGAATTGAACAAAATATATCACTTGCATGTTGTGGATTAGGGCCCAATCTAGCATTTTATGATTACTGATGTGTATTGGGTTTAATAATGAAAGTGAAGGTATGACTGGGATTGTTATTTGCTGAAACAATATGCATGGTTTTGCACATTTCTTAATCAGTAAAACTGTACTGTATATCGTGGGAACACTATATTGTAAAGGATGGGTGTACTGTGTAGCATTTCCTCAGCTATATGTGTTTAGTGGAGAAATGCTATGGCTCTTTAGCATTATTGTCATGTTGTTTCTTGAAAAACAATGACTTGTTTTATAAAGCAAAGTCTGCTATTTCATTATGTAAACTAAGGTTTTACATGATCCTCTATTTTTGGTGTCAAAATGAACTAAGTAGCACAATTTCATTCAATTCCAGACCTTTATATTGTAGTTGGTGTTTGTTTAATTGAATCACTATTGAAGGTTAACCTAACATCCCAAATTTGAAATTCTGCTTCACAGCTATGAACAAATAGACCTGAAGAATCATATCCTTGCAGTGTTCCATTAATAAATACAACTGCATTGTATGCTCCTTCACACTGAACTAGACTTTCCTTGTTGACTGAGATAGTGGGAGAGCAATGTAAGGACATTCTGGAATTCTTGCTATTGTGTTTTCAATAAGGGGCCTTGGATGACCCTGGTCAGTCTGAAAAGCTGATCCTTAGACTCAGAGACAATAGGCAGGCTTCGTGAGCTAGACCATGTTGAACCTTTAGCACTTTAGCACTTCTCTTCAAACTTTGAGCCCTTTCATAAGTCACTACACAAATATGGTTGGAATGTGTTTGACTTGCAAGCAAATTTTGTCATGACAGACGACAAGCCTGTTTTTGTACTCATAGACACATTCACATGATCTGTAAACATGCAGAAACTTCTGAGATCACCATTGTCATGTAAGAAACCAAATACTGTTCAAAACAGCCTAAACGTCTGAATGTTTCTAGTAAAACGATATGATAACACTTTTTCAGCCCCAGTCAATGACAGTCTTTAGCCAGGGGTGTTTTCAGGACACTTGCCTGCTTTCCTCCTCTTTTCTGAATGCTGTGTGCTGTCCACTGAATCACTAGTGGCCGCTCCACTGCTGATGTGATTACATCAGTGCCCTATTGTGTGTGTGTTTACTCCCAGCCCAGTTCTCTTTTCCTCAGTGTTCAGCTTCAGGCTTGTACATTCACTCATAAAAGTCTGCTGAGTACCCAAAAAAGAATGTGTTTATGTTTGTGAACATGCACACACATCAGGGTGTGCACACATACACGTGTGTTTCCTCTGTGTGTCTGAGAGAGAGAGAGAGAGAGAGAGAGAGAGAGAGAGAGAGAGAGAGAGAGAGAGAGAGAGAGAGAGAGAGAGTGAGAGTGAGATAGAATGAGTGTGCTTCAAGAAGAGTGGCACAGCTGCCGCTTGTAAATGAAGCCTCTTTCTCTCACTGTCAAACAGAGGGGTACTCTTTTCCTGTGCCCCCACATTTGGATGGACCTTTAATGGACTCCCCTGACTCATTCTCCTTACCCTTGTCTTCTTATCCACACTTGTAGACCATTTCTGTGACACCGGCACCACCACTCTTCTCATTTTTGTGTATTTGTGTATATAATTGTACACCGTGCTGAGCAAAAGTCAGAGACCACACTTCATTTATTTAATTTTCACTCAGAATGGCCATTAAATGCAGGTTATTCATTTTTTAGGAGATTTCTGAAGCTAGAGATAAGATATACTATTAGATATAAGATATGTTATTAGAAACAACACTTGGATAAGGAAGGAGAAAGTAAAAATAAAATGAGTGGGGAAAAAACAGGAGCTTCCAAAACTAGAGTTCAAAAAATGATAAAAAGATACAGAGAATATCTGACTCACAATGGACACTCCACTTTTGCTTCAGATCTAAAAAACTCCACAGGTGTTTCTATTCATCCTTCCACTTTGAGTAGACAACACAACACTATGGGTCTGAAAGAATCTGAAGCCCTCAAGAAACCTTTACTGGGAAAAGGAAATAAACAAAATAGGAAAAAATGGGCACTGCAACAATGAAACTGGACATCTGAGATGTGAAGCAAGGTTTTATGGACTGAAGAGACTGATAAGTCTTTGTAATTGGGATTACCTGGATCATGAGAAGCGGTAAATGCAACCAGCTTCTAAGACTGGAAATTGGAAGTTCACTGCACCTAAAGGAACTCTGCTTTAGTTTATCTGTGTGATGTTCATTTCATCTCATGGTATTTAAAAATGCTACATACTGCCAAGCAGTGACAAACATAGCAGCATCAAAACCTAAAATCTTACACTTCCAGAAAGATACTGCATGAAACTAATTATGGATGCCAATCTGATCATCTTGTTTACTAAGAAGGAATTTAACCCTGTAAGTAAAATATGCAGCGAGGAATATAATATACCATTTTATCATCATCCACAAGCCACAAGGTATTTCCTGCAAACAAGAATCTAAGTGTGTTTACACATTCAATTTTCAACTCTGTAGCTTGTAAACTATTCTTTCCATGAGGTGTTGTCATTAAGATGCAACATCATGACACAATAAGTGTTAGTCTTAGATATGGTTAGTGTTCACTTGTCACAATCCCTGACCTCAGAGGACACAGGAGCTGCATTCAGGACTTTAACTAAATACTGTAACAGCTTGTACTGCTACAAGATATTACATCTCCTTATACTCGTAGATACCATTTTGGGTGCTGTACTATGCTTGCTTTGAGCTATTTGTTGTACTTAATTTTATAAATGTCATAAAATCACCTCTTGGAATTTTCTCTTGTTGATGCGAATAATAGGAGAAAGTCACTAACAGAACATTGACATCAAAAAAGAAAAACTACACAAAAAATGTAGTAGATATACCTCTATGTTGTAACTGAGAATGAAGACTTAAATGAAGAAACAGCTGATGTGATGATACCAACAGCAATGGCATAAATCAAAAGGTTCTGAAAATGGCTGCATGCAGCAGAACTTCATACAACACAGCGTACAGTACCTAGCCTTGACTTGCAATTCAATATTAAAACATAACCTAAAACATAACCTAAAACAAAACATAACCTAAAACAAAAAATCTCTGATGTTGTTCTACACACTTAAAAAAGATGGTCCTTTAAAGGGTTGTTTAATAAAGGCAATGGTTCTATTTAGAACCATGTGTTCTATGTAGAACCATTTCATGTTTAAATGGTTCTTTGAATAATGAAATAGTTCTTTAGATTAATGGAGAATGTGTTCTATGTGGTTCTATATAGAACCTTTTTGAAAATGGGTCTAAATAGCACCAAAAGGCGTTCTTCAATTGTTATAAGCTTGACATCATAACAATATTTTTTGGAGCTATTCTCAAAAAGGTGCTATATAGAACCATATACAACACATTCTACATCAATCTGAAGAACCATTTTACCATGCCAAGAACCATTAAAGCATGAAATGGTTCTATATAGAACTCACGGTTCTAAATAAAACCTTTGCCTTTACTAAAGGACCCATGAAGAACTATCTTTTTTACTGTGTACTTTCCCTTTTGTAGCACTGCAGTTTATGGATTGATACTGCTGTCTGTTAGATAGTACTCACATTAAAGTTTAATCTCCAGATAATTACATGTCTTGTTCAACCATTAATGAATGGAGCTAAATTTAGATCTAGTGAAAATTTAATCAGTTGTACGACCATTCTGTCTCTTTGTGTTCCAGTTTCCTTCATTTTGTGTTAACTTACATCAGACTTCTGTTTTACATCAACCTTACTTGTCTTTTTTCCCCCAATGTAACAACCCAAGACTGTGTTGAGTATATATTATCTGCCTCTTGGTCCTAAAACATCCATTTAGTTTGAGTGGGTCTTCTCCAGGTCTGTTGTTTAGGGCTCTCTGTGCCTGCTCCCAGCCCCCCCTAGTCCTCCTTCTCTGTGTCCAGTTGCAGTGACAGGTGGCTCTTGGGAGTTTGTGCTAGCGCGGGGCCAACAGCTGCACAAAGGAGCCCCACTGGGTCTTTTTTTGGGGGGACGGGGTGTCCCCTCTCAAGCGTGCCGTTTGCCACCCCACCCCCCATCTTGTTGCATCCATGTCCACTCTCAAGCAGATGCTAGCTGCGCTCTACAGGTGGCAAGCAGCTTCATGATTCAGTTTGATTTTGTAGAGCCTTTTTTTTAATTCAACCTATTGTTCCATTTCTTACGGCAAATCTGGTTATGTTGGAAAAACAGCAGATGTACTTGATATAACCCTTGTTGCCTAGACAACTAGAACTGAATATTCGCTTGAAATAAAATACAAATGTGTAGGAGATGAAGTTGAAGGTGTACGTCCACGTAAACTAAAACCAGACTAATATTGAAGCCTCATATTCGGTAAATCCCACTGATGTTGCATACCATGTTTGTGAAGTATTGTGAAGATGCTATTTGAACAGCCTCTGTATCTTAAACAACTAAAACCTAATAGTTGTGTGGTCTATTTTTGTGAGGGAATCTTAGTTATACATAGTTATACAGTGCTCCCCAGAGCACCCGTACTCGGCAAATTCTTCTTTCCTTAACAAAGCTGACGCATCACAGAGCCCGACTTGACTTTTTAGGGGTCCTGACTAAACCGCCCAGGCCGCAGAGAGACACCACTGCAATCAGCTGAGGGCACAAACAGTTTGAATGTTGGGCTTACTGGTAGAGTCCATTTCATGGGGAGAGCAGGCTCGCACTCGGATAAACAAAATAGTTTAAAGCACGAAATGAGATTAAACTCAGGCCCAAATTCCAAAGTAATGTATTATGTTAGAAAACTAATATATGTGTGGGATGTAACAGGCGGAAGGGGATTGACTAAGCAGCGCACAAAGCTTACGTCCATCCCCTTTAGCGTGAAAGGTACAGTCGAGATTTGCGGGCACGCAGGGACGGTCCGCTCAGCAGGCAGTAGACTACTATCAGCTGGGAGCGGTGGGACTGTCCGCTGTGCTGAAAGTTACCTCAGTTTTTTTAACACCCACGAGGCCGAGAGGTAGTCTCGGTTTCGTGGTCTTGGGACTAAAGTTACATTCCCTCAAGCTCCCGCTTCTCCTGCACTGACATTTCCTCTCCCTTCTTCTTATCGGGTTTGGGATACATCAGCGGAGCGCGCGAGCCGAGTTCTCCCCCGTTTTTAATCCCGGAGGAATGAGTATACGGTCTGAGAGAAGAGCACGACCATCCGCCTGACCCAGAGAACAAAATGGAGTGTGAAGGTTTTGGCTCTGACCTGGATACAGATGTTCTGCGTTCAGCAGAAGACCGTAAGTCTGCGTTTGTGTTTGTGGAACGGAGCTAACCGTCATGTTAACGTCTCTTTTCCTTCTGCTATGTGTTCTGTGATGGTTTTATGGCACTCGATGCGGTGACCATAGATTCAGATGTACCGACAGACTCCAGCTTCTGCCCTTCATCTTCATTAGCACATGGCTGTTTGGCCCTAACATTAATCCCAGCCTCTGAAAACTGCCTGTTATTTTGTTTTAACATGGGCGTATTTAAAGTTTGCTTAAAATTAGGCTGAGTTCGGTTCAAGCGTTCACACAGGGATTCGTCAGCTGTCATCTATGTTGTCGTGTTTTTATTTCTTTCCTTTTTTGTTTTGTTGTTGATGCCTGAGTTGTGGTTTCGTAGCTGATGAGGGACGGGGCTGAATTGAATTGCACTCAGTGGCAGGACTGCAAACCCAGTCGTTGCACAAGCCTGTCGGGGATGAATGACTATGAGATGAATGTGATAGTCTAGTGTTAAGTAGTTGAAGCCGGAAGCAGAACGGGTATTGTAACCCCGTCTGGAATTTATCTCTCATGATGCTCTCATGAAAGTGTGTAGGCTACTGTGTGGCGTCATCTACAGGGGTCGTAGGTTATGTGGTCAACCTGTGAAAAAAAACATATGAACAGACAGTGTCTGGTGTACTCTGTAGTTACAGTCCTATAGCCCCCTCCCCGGACCTCACTGTCCAAGCAAAAATGATGAGCAGCAAACTCTAGGCCCAGGATCACCCACCGCAGTGATCATGGAACAAAACTGGCTAGGAACACTGAGGTCTCAGCGCTTCAAGTAATCCTGTTCACCACGATGTAAAATGCCTAAACTGTTCCTGGATTATCAGCCTTGCTCTGAGGAGGGTGATCAATATGGGCACACAGGCTGGCAGAGGATAGACTGGCTGATCGTTTTTTTGACTGGACCTCACTGGGGACTTTGGATGTGCAACCATAGTGTATTCAAGAGAGAATGATAGTCCAGTTTCAATATGTGACTGTATGCAAGCAGGCGTGTCCTTATCTGAGAGAGATAAATGTCACATTGAGAAAGGCAAAACTGATATGTGCTTAGGCAAATGAGTTTCTCTGTGAATTGCTTTGAGGTGCATTATTTGATCCATGGTTCTGAACCTGGTTAATGTGGGCCATTAAGGACTGTTACCTTTTTCATGTTTTGAACAGACAAAACACAAAACTGACAGTGACAGCAATGCAGTCAGACCACACTTAATGGGATAATTTGACATTTGAATATGATAAGCTTAGCTGAATGAATACATTGCAGTGTGTCAGTGCCTCTGTCCATGTCTGAGCACAGAGCTGCAGGGGAAGAGTTGCTGCAGTGGTATTTTCAGAGCAGTACCTCCTCTGCATTGTGTGTTGCCCTCCACCCAAGTTCTATGTGAAGATTTCTATGTGGAGCTTTCTCTATGGACAACAGAAGATTGTGCTTCCTTCCTCATGCTTGGGGGGGCCTGTTGAGCGGGGGCTTCTGGCTCTGAGTCAGGCAAAAGCAGACTGAATTTCCCATCGTAGCAGTGGGAATTTTAACCATGTGTGATCTATATAGAATAGACATCTGTTTAGAATAGACAATAAGCATCCTTTGAGAGCTGAATTATTTTATCGTGCATATATTAACATGATATTCCCAGTGATGCACCAAACCACGCAAGACCTTATAGGAAAGTCTGTTCGCTCTGTGACCATCTTGGTAATGCTGACAAGCAGTTATTCCAGCCATACAAGACCAGGTTCTTATCTCTATGAGTAGGGAGAGACCTAAATACTCAAAACTGAAGGTCAAATTAGCGATCATAATACATATTTGAAATAGCTGGTAAAATCTGGCAAAAAAAATCTGGGTTGTTTTATAGGTGCATGCCAAGAGTGACCTTCATTTATGGTAGTTTTTAGCATGTCTTTCTCAGCTGGAATGGATGTATCACCACATAAAGAAGAAAGCATGACGATGCATAGGCCTATATATTGCAAGCTCTTTCTAGTACAGTTCAACAAGGTTATGGCATCTGTAGTCTAGTTTGGCTCTGGTATGACTTGCTCCAAGAGCAAACTACAGTGTGCAAGTCTGTATCAGATTCTGCATGAAAACATGTTTTCCAGTTATGCAAACTGTATGTGCACTTAGCCATTTTCTCTGCTGAGTCACTAAATTCTCTAACTCATCCCATTATTTGTTATTGCACTAAATGACTGATCAAAGGTGATGGGCTGCATTCTACATGTATGCGCTTGTGCACTTCATAGATCATTTTTTTTTGTCTCTGAAATTCTCTGCCTAACAGTCATTTATTTCTTGTCTTGCCTTCTGATCTGATTTCACCAAACAGTAGTGACTAGGCTTTTCTCACAGTGAGATGTTGTTTTGGAGGTCTGTGTTACATACCTCCTGCATGATGAGCAACATTCTCGACAAGTTTCAGCTCTAGCTCTGTTTGTGCTCTGCTGTCAAACCAATCTTCTTGTATGTATATTTCTGAGATGTGCTCTACGTTGAAAATGTCTGAACGCTACATTTAAAATATTTGTCATTACATTACATTAGGCTACATCGAAAATGAGGATTCACTCAGTGTAAACCTGATAAATGAACGAAGATGATGGTGATGATGATGATATATGTGTACTTGAACCATGACTCGAGTTTTCAGTTCTTTAGTAGAGGTCTCGGAGATTTTGGAGATTCACTTTGTTTTGTCTGAGAGCTAGTTCTGTTTAGTTTAATGATGCAGTTTTGTGGTGGTGCTTTGAAACGGAAAAATAAATCATACTGTTTTAGCTCACAGCAGCCATACTCAGGGCTGAGGCGTTCCCTCTCTACTTTGTATGGGGGGCTGAGCTTGGACTGCCTCTGTAGAATTTTGCCCTGTCAGGACTTTTGAAGAACATCTTCTAATCTCTTTCCTTTTGGTTTGCATTAGGCATGTGCTCTGGTGAGCACTCCCTCCCCCTGACACTCCTTTCACGCCTGTGGAGTTGCCACTATTTTGTCGTCTCTGTTTTAATCCCCCTCTGCTAACCTGAGATTCTGGGCCCAGTGAGCTGGAATCAGTAAGACCATTTCATCACCAGAAAAGGTCTGCCTTCCACAACTCATCACATAGCCCTGAAATGACTCACTGGTCCACCATGGTCTTAGGCTGTTTTGACAGTTTGTTGAAACTGAATGGGCAGAGATCTGAATTTGGCATGCTGTGGAAAAGCGGAAAAGACTATAGTCAAATACAAAACTGTATTGATATGTGCTCACTGTTTCAGTGCTACATTTGAAAAATACTTACTTTTTGAGCTGTACAGCAAAAGTACCATGATAAAACTAGACTAAGTGCAAATTCCTGAATGCTTTCTGTTGTACGAATATACATTGTGTTTAAGACATATTTAGTGTTGTCAACAAGTATATCTCTTTCTTGTTCATGTTATCATCTCGTTGGGTATCTGTTCATTTCTTAATATCATACAGATAGTTTGTGTACTGTTGGTGTTTTAAAGGGCCCATATAATGGAAAAACGAATTTCCCTCAATGTTTTGAAATAAAGCAGTTTGAAGTAATATGTAAATATTTGATGTTTCAAAATGTTCCATGGAAGTTATGCTGTAGAAACAGGCACTTTTAAATTGATTGTTTTTGTGATGTCACGAGAACCAACTCCTTTATGAATCCATCTCTTCAGCCTACAGTTCAGCCTCACTTATTCATGTTTAAGTTCCAATGGGTGTTTTCATCTCTGTGTACTTTTTTTGACAGGGGCACTTGAGGACTTTTTGACTGAGGTGTAATACAGGGCAGCCAGTCAGAAGAGAGATAATGTATCTTATAACAGTCTTAAAGACAGCAACAAAATAGCCTATTTAATTCTAAGGGATAAGGGTGGTTGGAAAATAGTCATGTACAAATTAATAGTAACCAATTGTGGTACGTAAAACCACACAAATGTTAAGTGGATATCAAGGAAAAACAAAACAAAATAATACAATAAGAGAAAATGTAGGATATGGACCGTTAGATGCCAGTTGTAAAAGGATCCTCCATATTTTATTCTGTAGTCAAAATATTGACTCCTTGATGCTGCTCTTTGCTTCTAGCCTATCAGTCAGTGCTGACCTAGACTACTGTAATTGAGCCAGAGCTTTGCATTCCACTAAACAGATCAGTTTTACAAAAACAATGCTGTAAAAATCAATATGGACCACTTAGGCCTATAGTTTGAGTGATCAGTGTTCAGAATTGTGCTTTGATCACAGGTGCTGCTCTTGGCACAGAAACGCCTCCCTACAAGACCTGCAGTCGGGCTAACTAAATGTCCTGTTGCTAGTTGATGCGATGGACCATGAACAACTCAAGATGGTACATCGCTACAGAATGTGCTGGTGTGTTTGAGCAGCCATGCTGACGCTGAGATGGTAAGAGGAAGAGACAGCCTGGCGGGGGTCAGCTTCTGTTGTATAACATGCTGTGTCTCCTCCCACCTTCCTTCTGTCACCCCAGTGGGATGTTATTGCTCTGCTCCATGGACCCAGAGCTGACCAAGGAAATTTTATGTACCTTGGAGGTGGTGACAACATTAGAGATTTGGCAGACGTCTGAGGCCTTCCAAGACACAGACCTCTGAACAGCATAAATGTTTTAACTTGACCCAATTAAGTAGATGGTTTAGCACATTTGCATTTTTTAGTATGAGGAGATTAGGAGTGTAGTCACTATGGTTTGACATGATTTTTGATACATAAGGTAACGATTTTATATTTTATTGATGTTTTACATTAGTGTTATCAGTTAAAAAAAAAACGTCTTGAACAAAAACTCTTTTTTATTTGAACAGATGTTTGTGAGCTGTGTTGTGTTGAATGAATCATATCTTAGCTTTTAGGACTGAATCATTGATCAGAAATGATTTCTTCTTTTACTGTGATGTAACATAAACCTTGGGTAATGCTGACTGTGCCTGAGGTAACCTACAGAAACATCATG